CCCAGTGTTCGAATGCGAAAAATGCGAATTTGAACACTGAAAGTTTTGCACCTTCTAGGATTGCACTAATGAATCGCTAGATAATCTTCAATTCGGTGACAAACTTCACTTTCCCTTAGGAATTTATGCAATTGAGCCAAATACTATCTAACAATCCCCTAGTGGGTTTCACTTGTGAATGGTCGGGTAACGTTTATTCGGTAGCAATCTTAACTTCACGATGGGAGTTTTGCTACCGAGCAAAAGATTATCTAACCGCTCCAGAGTGGTTCTTTGTTGTTGTGCCTTGCTATTAAAAGGTCTTATTGCTGCTGTTGAAACCTTCATCGTAGTATGCTTTCTGTTGCTGCTTCATTAAAAATCTTGATAGAAAAACCCAATTGGGACAAAACTGGATGAAGGAAAAAATAGTGCAGCACATACTTTCAGTACAGGTGATGTTCTTCAGTAATAGTATCTCTTGAGGTGTGCCACATTCCAGTTGCTTGGAAACTTCTCTCCATCTTGGTTATCCAATTCGTATGAAACTTTCCCGGTGACAACTGAAACCAGGTAGAGGCCTTCCCATGTAGGACCTAACTACCCTGCGTTGAGTTCCCGGGTGTTTTGTGTTACTTTCCTTAGAACCAAGTCTCCCACTTTAAAATAACAGAGGTTGGCTCTTCGATTATAATATCTTTCTATTTTATGCTTTTGAGTTGCCATCCTTATATGTGCCAAGTCCCTGGGCTCATCGAGTAGCTCCAAATTGACTAGCATTGCTTTGTTGTTTGCCTCTTCATTTTCCTGGAAATATCTCAAGGTAAGTTCCCCTACTTCCACCAGAATCAAGGCTTCTTCTCCGTTCACAAGGGAGAAATGAGTCTCTCATGTGCTCGATTTGGTCGTTGTTCGGTATGCCCAAAGTACTCCAGGCAGTTCCTCGGGACATTTACCTTTAGCTGTTTCCAATCTCTTTTACAAATTTTGTATACTTACTTTGTTCGTTGATTCGACTTGACCATTTGTGTTTGGATGATAGGGAGAAGAGGTGATCCTTTTGATTTTCAAGTCTTCAAGGAACTTTGTGAAATTTGCGCCTAAAACCTGTGGCCCGTTATCGCAGGATGTCTCTTTTGGCATTCCAAATCTGCAAATTAGGTTCTCCCATAAGAAATCCAACACCTCACATTCACTAATCTTCTAATAAGAACCTACTTCAACCCACTTAGAAATATAGTCAGTTAAAATCAAAAGAAATCTTACCTTACTATGGGCCGACGGCGGTGGTCCGACGATATCCATTCCCCACTTCATGAATGCCCATTGAGACAAAACTGAATGTAATGGTTCTGCTAGTTAATGTACCAGCAGTGCGTAGAGTTGACACTTATTGTATTTTTGTACGAATTATTTAGTGTCTTGTTCCATTCACGGCCAATAATACCCTACCCTTACCAGGGTATTATTTAGCGTCTGGGCCTGAATGATTTCAACACATCCCTTTGTGGACTTCTCGTATAACATAATTAGCTTTGGAGGCTCCCAAGCATCGGGCCAGTAGGCCTTGGAATGATTTCATGTACAATTGGCCACCTTTTAAGCTATATCGTGCTACTTTGGTGCACAGTGCCCGGGATGCCTTGGGGCCTTCGGGCAACTTCCCATGTTCGAGATAATTAATGATTTCATTCTTTCGGTCCCTAACCAGATTAGTTATATTTACCTCATAGTAGCTATCTGCATCCAGAACCGAGTGCATGAGTTGTACTACCGTACCGGAACTTCATTTCCGTTGATGAGCCGAGGTTAGCTAATATGTCCGCTTCCGAGTTTTCTTCCCTTGGGATGTGCATAATTGACCACTCCCGAAATCAAGCAAGCAGAGCCTGAACCTTCACTACGTAATGTTTCATGTGTTCCTCTTTTGCTTTAAAGATCTCGTAGACCTAATTTACCACTAGTTAGGAGTCGTATTTGATTTCTATGACCTCAAAATCTATTCCCCGGGCTAATTCGAGTCCTGCAATCAAAGCTTCATACTCTGCTTTATTGTTACTCAAAGGGACCATTCTTATGGCCTACTTTAGGGTTTCTCCCAAAGGCGTGCTTAATACTATGCCAAGCCCGAACCCTTTTACGTTGGAAGCTCCATCCGTAAATAGGGTCCAAACTCCTGATGTCGATTCTGAAACCATCATTGCTTCTTTGGTTGCCAGATGCAGCAATCCCGGACTAAAATCGGCAATAAAGTCGGCCAAAACCTATGACTTAATCTCAATCCTAGGTTTATATTCTATGTCAAATTCACTCATTTAGACGGCCCATTTGGTCAGCCTACCCGAAAGTTCGGGCTTATGAAGGATATTCCCCATGGGAAAGGTGGTCACCATAGCTATCGGGTTACATTGGAAGTAAGGCCTTAGCTTTCGAGCGGTGACTACAAGAGCTAAGTCCAGCTTCTCCAAATGCGGGTAGCGAGTTTCTGCTCTCGTTAAAATTCTACTAACGTAATAGATGGGATATTGTGTACCTTCGTCCTCATGGACTGAAACGGCGTTTACCTCTACTTCCGAGACTGCTAGGTAGATTAATAATTTTTTGCCTTCCTCCGGCTTCGATAGTAACGGAGGGCTTGACAAGTACATTTTTAAATCAATCAAAGCATGCTGGCATTTCGGGGTCCATTCAAAGTCATGCTTCTTGTTGAGTAGCGTGAAGAAATGGTGACACTTCTCTGATGATCGAGAAATGAACCTGCTCAAAGAAGACAATCTCCCTATGAGCCTTTGAACTTCTTTTACGCTTGATAGTTGGTCTGGGATGTCTTAGATGGGTTTGATTTAATCGGGGTTTACCTTAATCACCTTTTGTGAAACCAGAAATCCTAGAAACTTGCCGGAGCTGACCCCGAGCACGCACTTCTAGAAGTTAAGCTTTATGTTATGCTTTCTTAGGATGTCAAAAGTTTCTTGCAAGTACTTAAGATGGTCACCTACATTCAAAGACTTAACAAGCATATCGTCTATATAAACTTCCATGGTTTTCCCTATCTGTTTTCAAATATCTTGTTTACGAGCCGCTGATAAGTGGCTCCGGCATTCTTTAGCCCGAAAGGCTTCACATTATAGCAATATGGGCCAAAATGTTTCGTGAACAAAGTTTTTTCCTGATCCTCCGGGTTCATCTTAATTTGGTTGTACCCGGAAGAAGCATCGAGAAAACTCATTAACTCGTGCCCGGCCATTGCATCAATCATTTGATCGATGTTT